CGAACCTGTGCCGCGAACCATAGGCAAATAGCAAATATCTTCTAAAACGAAAAGATCTCTGCATTATGCATATCGCTGTGGACTTAAGCTCATACCGTTGCTGCTCGAGCAACAGTACGTCATCGCTCTGGTTGATCCAATGTGACACCAATATCCGTTAGGACATTGACCTTCAGCCGTACAGCCGAGAACCCTATTGCTGATGACGTACGGCATGCCACCATAGCATAGTGACACGTAATCTAAATGACTGATTCATCGCAAAAGAAATAATTACTGATGGGACAACGTCTGTTAAAGATTAAGAAGATATGTTCTAAAAATGTCTTCCAACATTAAACCTGTTCTGCATAGCATATTCACAGATGCATCTGATTTCACGAACACTAATTCTGGTTTAATAGTTTCATCCAGTAAACTTTGATGAGTACATATGATGTTAAATTTAAATATAGTTAAGTTAGGCTGCATCATTGCAGTAAGTTTTGCGGTATGATCCCATCGCCCCTTGCTTTTAGAGACAATGCGCATTTGAAAAAACCAGTACTGCATTGTATTTGAGAATCCACAGTAGCTTAATACACAACAGCACTCCAGTGTTGACTCGATGATTGGACTACAACAAAAGCAAAAATGTTTTCAGCCAGTAAGTATAATAGTATTTTATATGATACGCTATGTATAAGATCAGTATTCAGAAAACTGTTCTCATCGACTATCCAGGAAAGGCTGAATACGACAGATGATATAGAAGTCAGCTCAGATCAAGGAGGCTTTTAGACGGGTTATTCCAGTCCTGGCTAAGTTTCCATAATCGAACAATGTTAACAGATGATGTCAGTTTATATGATTTGAAAGTTTACTCCATTTTAAAACCGTTTTATTCAGCGCATCGTTTGCTTTTGGAAGAACGGTTTTCAGTTAATTATGAAATTCACCAGGTAGATATGCTGTCGTGTTTGTTATTCAATATTGTTGTCGATTTTCATCTCAAACAATACTGAGAGTGGCAACGACGAAGATTTGATTCCTGAGGAAAGGTACTTCAATATATCCCGCTATATTTCCCCTGACATTGTGTATGCAAATGATATCTTCCAGGTGAATAGTATGGCGAGTATGTTGTTTAACCTGGCTACTTCCGTTTGCAACAGAAGTGCGAAGTTCAGCCTATGTCCTAACGCCCGGGAGTCAAAAAAATTATGAGCAACGAATCAGACATACTTGATCTACTAGTGGAACTGACGGAGGAAGTCGACGAATTTAAGTATCTCGACTCCATCGTCTCCAGCCATAGCACCATCCGGCCAGAATTTAATAGCAAGAGCGAACTTCTCCAGTGGACTGACACTGGTAGACTGTCAAATATTTAAGTTGAGAATTTGTAGTAACCATTACGGCAGAAACTCGCCGGCACCCTGTCTCGTCGAGATCAGTGTTATTGTGTGGAAAGGAAAGATTGCTCGAAAGAAGAGCACGGAACAACAGCTGGATTGCGTACAACAGTGTTGACTTAGACGCATAATGAGGGTTAGATGACAACACCACCACCAAAGGAATGACTCAGTTCTTTTCCAGGCACAGGTGACCTGAATAGATGCGGAGAATAAGAGATTCTAGGTGACCTGTTAGACAAGTTGGATGAATACAAACTATTTACTCCATGCCTTGAGCTCGTCGTATGGCACACTTCGATAAGGCTCGATCGGTTTCGACCAGGAGGCTAGCCCGCAATATGGAGTAACAAAGCGGAATTGTTTTTTTTTCAATCAAATAACCGTTTATCTTATAGCAAAATTGCTGAAAAGGTTCGAATACAGCCGACCTCACAATCTAAAGACATTCTGCTGATGCAAACACGTAGACACGTAGTGTAATAACAGCAATGAATATCCATTGTTTTATGAAATCACTTCCTTCTACTGTGCGCTGATTTGAATGACAAAATAACGCTTTACATCTATCACCCTAATTATCGAAAGTTCGTTGAGGCATGTTCTGCAATAGAATTCCTATAATCCAAGTTATTAAGGTATCTGACCCAATTTTGAAAAATTAGTTGCTCTTTCATATACATCTGCGTACTAACTCACATATTGGATGATCAGTGAATGCGTTTAAGTAGAAAGACCATAGAACAGGATTGGCGACGCGGATTGCTTTAATCAAAATATAATGGTAAATGCATTTAGGACCACTGGTAATCAAACGTCTTGAGCGGTGAATCTCTGAAATTGTACTTCAGAATCCTATGAGCACAGGACTCGTACCAATACTCGCAGTGAAACACGAGGTTGTAGAAGCGCTACTTGCTGATCGATGTACTTCAGCGTACAAACGTATATTTTTGTGCATATTCTTGTACCGATTTGAAGGAACAATTAAGCAAGCCTTATTATGTTTATGCCTGGTATGTTTTGCCTGCCTTATTATGTAGCAGAGACATCGTGTAAGCCTCGTGCGCCTTTAATAATTCACAAGCAACCTGTCGTTTGTCGATCAGCATCTCACACAACGTTACCTATAGGTCTGGACTGGTTGTCCTTGTTACTCTTCGTTGTGATGGCGGCGCTGTGTTCAGCCTGGAATTTGTTTCCAGGAATTTGCTGGCTTGCGACCGTGGCATCGGCCGAGTCGAGCGTGTCCTTTTTCGGCGGATATACTTTGACGGTAATCACTCTCTGTAGCACTGTCGGAATGGCACCTGGTACCGTTGAGTCTTTCATCAGCGAGTCATTGTTCGTGCGTGCTGATGCCTCAGCTACGAAGGGGTGGTCGACTCCCAGGACGCCGTAGACGCTCAGGTATAACAGCAGAAAACGGCAGACGACGAAAACGAACATCCCGTACAGCTGTTGCGAAGCCAAACAACTGGAA